ACGTTTTGGGATCCAATTTCGGCTACGCGTCGCTCGTTGATCTATTTGGGAGTTACACGGCCTACTTCTAGGTCCCTGTGCAAGGTCCCCATAGCATTCGGATTAGGAATCGAAATCGAATAGCGCGAACTCGGAATTCGACTGAAAACCCACTGATTAACGCAAAGTCAGGTAGAACCAAGATGAACTGTGCATACAGCTAGTTCATTCAGAAAGTCATGCAAATGTATTTCACAATCAACAAACAATCATTGATCGATTCTTCAATGTCCAATTGACAAGGATATGGTTTACCTGTTTGCCCTCTGGCATTCAGCCAATCCGATTGGTGCCAATTAAGAACACAGGATCCATCGGTTATTCTGTTTCTTGATTGGTTACCTGGAAGCTGTACCGTGGTGCGTTCCCACTCGTTACACAATCACCACAATCCGACCCTGTCATTTTGACACCATCAGTGAACACAAAACACGGATTTTGAAGATCCTGTGCCATATCGTTGTTAAATATAAGGAAAAGCAAGGGACCTATCACTGAGTGGGGGAACCTCACTTGTAGCCATCTTATGGCTAGAAATGTAGTCAATCACCTTAACTCTGAAGGTGCGATTGCTTTACAAGGCTACAATCCAAACCCTTGCTCTGCCTACTGTGGCTAGGCTTCGAACTTTAAAGTTCAACTTCAGTTTTTCGATGGTTGCTGATGTTTGTCAGAATCTGTCACTAATGTTTGCTCACGTTCATTCTGGATATCCGTCCCAAGAAGAAACAGATCCAACGACTGGGTTTGTAGAAAACGATATATCCCGAATCTTCCGAAAGGTTGGAAGTAGGTTTGGTTAGGCTTAGGCTGTTATTTAAGCAACGGCAGCGGAAACTTGAAAGTAGATCTGATCAATGCATGGAAAGCGTGTGATACAGAGCTCACCGTGGGGAATTGTACCGGTGTGGTCTTTTTGAGCTCATTAAAAGAACGATAATAGTTAAAGCAAAACTTAATCCTGGACGTGTCTAAGTTGCTATATCGAGTGAAGAAACTTTCTCTAGATGATCGCTATCGCCAAATAATGGCGACACCTGCTAAATCTCGACGGTACACTTGATTGTGTCCGGTGGAGAAGGGTTCTTATGTTAGAAAGAAAAGATTAACGGTAACCCAGCTTTTGTAATTAAGCTATCTCATGGATAAGCTAAATCACTACTTGATGTCTGAAGCTTGATGGTTCTGATAAATATGTCATGGTCTTGTATCCATATCTTGATAGTCTTCAATTATACGGGACTTGTTGGAAGCCGAACCTGTCCTGATGCTAGTCACCAGCGTAAGGTGGATGTGCTACTGGTCCGTGATTTGATGATCAAGCCCAACTTCAATGGCCCCTCCAGGAAGCCAGAGAACCAGAGAAAAACAAGAGGCAAGAAGAGAGAAGTGCCATTGCGAAACTGTCGGTTGAAGAACCGCTACCCCCACGGGGTGGGGGGTGAATTGGAAAGACCACATGTACTAAATCATCCGTGCGCAGTGTTGGAAGCTCCTGCCATACACCGACCACACAACGAATTCGACGCTCGCTTAGAAAGAGCCATAATCGTCCTTTGCAAGGTCAACTAAACTGAACTTAACTGAGTTCTGCAGTCTTGAAGTTTTAAAGTATTACACGGGTACGAGGCGTCGCCCAATAGTCCCGGAACTTAATTTGACTGAACAGCTGTTTCGACTATGGTGGAACAATTAAGGGAAGTTCCCTGAGAATAGAAGGTTACGGCGTTGTCGGCTACTTCGGCGGCAACGCTGAGGGGACAACCAACGCATGGTGCCAGGACCATGCATACAGCCTTCGGCAGCTTCTGAACCCCAAGTTCATGAAGCAAATTTTCGTCGACCTTAAAAGAGGTGAGCTCTTGCTACATGTTGCGCAAAGGTTGGGGAAACTTAAGAGAGCCCAGGGTCATTCCTGATTTTCTCCTGGGTAGACCAGCCGGTACGTGTTAAGACAGCGTCTCTCAGAGTCTCGTGGGGACGTTCCTCTCGGACGGGATTGATGACGTCAAACACAAGTTCTGCCACATCTAAGGGTAGAGCTTGTAACACGCGGTAAAAGTTAGAATCTGACTGAGTATTTCCACGAGTCGGGAAATGGGATTCGACCACGGAAAAACACACGGAGGGATTTTTATGGTCAAAGCGCGGGCAAGTGAAATAGACCGCGTTTACAACTACCGAGTGCTGCTTAATAGGGGTGATTTTCTTTGATTCAGTCATGATTTCGAATATAGCTGACTAAACACAGTCAAAAGCAGAACAGTAGCAGTAATTTCCTGAAAATACCGAAATCGAGCAAAACGAAAAGATATTTTCTAAAAATAAATTAATGACACCCTACGTAGCGCAAACAAAATTGTATGTAAATCGAGAAAAATAAAACACGGGTGGTTATTGAAAAGGAAAATTCCTAAAAAAGTACCAATAACCAGAAAAATTGAACGGGCTCACCAGTTTAGAAACAGGCGGATGAAATTAAGCGACCTGCGACAACGATCCGATCTCTCATTCTCCCGTGTTTTTTGCTCGCCCGGTATGGATCAGGAAGAACAGCCGGTTAGTCGAGGGAAAGTATATTGTTCCCTGAAAGCATCGGAGTTTTAGCCTGACTATGCTCGAGAGTGTCTGAAAGCGAAAAGTGATTAGTGAGAGAAGGTGTACCACTGACCTCGGGCACCGTTAAATGTTACTTCATCGGAGGTGGTGAGACTTAAACAAAGATAAAAGACCTGGCTGAAGAAGCGGTTTCGGGATATCGAAGATCCCGGCGGAATCCATGCTACAAAGGAGAAGGATGCCGGAGCGAATGCTCCAAGCCATCAATGCCTGCAACCAAGAGAAAGCATACATGCGGAATAGGCAGACCAAAGATGGTGACAACCCTCGAGCTTGTTACACTGTCGGTCTCAAGCCGCTACACTAATGCCATCCCGGACAACACACTGAACTGGACGCTCGATTGGCGATAGCCGCATTCGTCGTGTGCAAACTGAACTGAACTGAACTGAAGATCATTGGCCGCATAATAAAGAACGCCCACAGTGGCGTAGGCTGAATCGTTGGATTACGTTAGTGAGAATTCTGGAAACGTAATTAACATAAGATATATTGTGTTCTCTGCAAAGTGAATAGAGCTTACACGGTCACCCTGCCCTCTACCCTTAATACTGAAGACTGAAGACTGAATCCAATCAGAAGCTGAAGCTAGAGCTGAAGGTGGTCTGAATTGTTTAAATCGACTAATTAACCGAAGCAAATGTAATTTTCGGTCGCATGGCGGATTATTATGTTTAGTGTGAATGGCTCGGTGCAATGATGTAGAGACCACCTGCCCGGCTAGAACATGTCTAATAATAATCCCCACGGTGGTTCTATAGATTCTTCTTTAGAGCATTCTTTCACGAACATCTTCGCTCTGGTGAGTTTTCAACTCCTTTTCATGTTGACATCGTCTTATGCATCTATTTATTTTCAGACCGATTTTGGTGGTATACAATACCGAAAATATGTTCTTAAAGAAGAAAAGGAATACAAAAATGCATTAGAGGACCCACTAATTAAGTCATATGCTCTTTGCCAAAAGAAAAGCGTTTTATCAGCTTGGTTCCGTTCTAAAAGAGAGTCGAGCGATAATTTGAATCCATGTGCATTCTCCAAATTTTCTAAGGAGCTTTGGGTCTTTTGGTACGGAACTGGAGAGTTTCCGAATGCCAATGATTGTATATTACCGCAGTTATGTGAACAGGAACGCGGGAACTGGCGCCAGGGCCTTTCTTATGAGACTCGCACCGTTCTGTTTAGGGCGCTTCACAATGTGGTAGAACGGTAAGAGGTCATTCACGTGCTAACCTTTTCAGATGTTTGTTGATGAAGGGGTTTGTCCGACTGGGGAAGTGGTTTATTCAACCCTATAAATCCAATTGCAGCAATGACTAGTAAGTTGATTCTTTCTACCTTCGACAGCCTTTTAGCACACAGTATAGCGTCAGTTTTTCATTCTTTCTTCATGGAGAGAGTACTGTCTGTGCCAGTCTGGACCTAAGAGAGCACCCTTTAATCCAACGGGCTACCATGAGGCATGTTCAGTATTGTGCTCAAAAACAAAAGACCATACCTGGTGAGTATTGCCTGTTTGCTTCACACATTTGTTCTTGGACGGGATCACTGCTGGTGTATTGTCTATTATACCTACGGTTTTCCTCTTGTTGAAATGATCACGGTCTTCCCTAGGTTGTCGCATTCGGTCTTCTTAGCTCTTTAGGGCTTTCGAATCTCCTAAAGAGTACTTCCCCGGGGTTCGTCATTTTATCGAATTTGTACCAACAAGATCGGCATAAAAACGGGGCTTGATTTTACTGCCGTAACTCGCTTTCCGCAAGCTGTTTGTGCTCATGGCTGGGGAAAGTCTTGTGGTATGTCAGACAAACATGAGGCACGAATTAACTCCCATAGATTAGGTGTATGCCTTCCTCGGGTTTAGTTTGTGCAGACATTAGCTATGCATTTTCACGCTTCGATGCACCATGTTGACTGTTGGCTGTCCTTACCCCTCGCCATATTACAACCACGCCCTGTCCACAATATTACCGTACTTACGTTGTGAGCATGGTAGCCACCAGTCAAGTTCACTTTACCATTTCGCTATACGATAATGATTGTGCGGTATCATGCTGGGCTTCAACTAAGCTATCCACCACCAAAATTTGGTATCGATGACAAAGTCTAGACATGTAGAATTCAAGTTCACGTCGTCCGGTTCAATACCACGCCTAACCTATCGGGGCCTTATGTGGTTCGTCACTCCAAGTTCCGGGGCTTAGGTTGCCGATTTCAACCACTGAACAGCAGGTCCTCGTGACTATGGGGTTTACCCCGTCTGCTGTTCATCACACCTAGGTGTGTAATAAAAAAAGACAACCCAATTCACCAACCCCTATAAGATGTCTTCGTTCTTCGGTACCCGACAGCTGTTCTGCTAACCTCGTACAGATGCCCTTAGGCCAGGTCCGGCGGATCTGCAATCAGTAGTATGCTGTAAGGATGACGGAAGCGGCAGTTCGCATCGTAAGTTGTAATCAACTGGCGACTGAAGTGCATTGCTTTAAAAAGGCGCTAGGTGTGAGTGCATATGGTGCATACACTTGTGACCTGTGATCAAATCGTCAGGGAGATTTGTCTGTCCACAACTGGATGGTATGTGCTTTGCGCCTTCAAAGTGATGCTGCAGGACTGGGTTTCTTCCACTCCCGCTCTGAAACTAAATGGCCAGGAATTAGCCATGGTGGTATTGCAGCAAAGGAGATTACCCGCATTTCCAAGGTTCGAGCAGCATACGCAGGACTGAAACACCTTCGACGTAGACGCGACCCTTCACTGAAGTTGACAGGTCGTGTATATTGTGCTGGCATTCGTTCAGTCCTACTTTATGGTTGAGTCCCTGAATTTGCGGGTAGAAGATATCCGTCTACTGGAGGTTTTCGATTATCGGTGTTTACGTAGTTTAGCCCTCGTTGGATNAGATTACTAGACTTCGCTGGCTAGGGCACGTATTGCATATACCCAGCCATCGTCTGCCGCACCGCGCTTTATTCGCTGTAGCTAATCCGGGCTAGAGAAAACCACTTAGAGTAGGTGTCTTTTGCCTTCCAGGTTGGGGTCCGAAAGACTCCACCACTGATTGGTTGGAGACATTGAAGAATATAGCAGCGAGCCTACAGCAGTGGCGTTCTTGTTGTCGTTTCTTATCAGGTCAGAATGCTTGAAACGGTATGTATGCAGAGTTCGATTACGTACTGTGTTGACCATAGAGGTTCAACTTCTTCCCTCTCCTTCAAAATAGGTCCCATCCCCGTCCACCTTAAATTTTACCACTAACCTTGTATGCATTGCGAGTTTCGCAGCGATCAGTGAAGTTCGCCTCACTGTATTTCGATGACGATGATGATGATGTGAATAGAACTACTACGCTGCAACCACGATNATCTGTCGCTGAATGAAAGATACCTCTGTTTAGCTAGCGTTTCGCTGTAACGTTACCAGATCCTGGGTCTAATTTATTGTTCATATTGGTAATTGGCATTCATGATACACAACTCTCTCTCGCTCTCATTATCTCCACAAATCGGGTCATGGATAGCAGATTGCAGTTTCAGTTTGCCTTGGAGATATCCAACCCGAAGATTGTATGTTTAAGGTTTTGATCCAATAGACCTAGCATACAGTTTTCCGCCATGCTAAAGGTTGTTTGCCAGTGTCAAAAAATGACTTTGTGATGCCTATAAAACGTCTTACGTATTTTTTATTCAACAGCGATCTCATCCATCTGGTGGATCGTAATTTATCTTTTATCATTTACTTTACTAGAAACTTACCAATGCTTAATTGCCTCCACAATGATATATCAAGATAAGGCTCTGTAAAGAACAGAATAGATCTCTGATATTTCACCAACTTGCTAAAAGATGGATTACTGATAATTTTTTCGTATGTGAATTCAAGGCTAGAATTAAGTTTTTCAGACTCGAACATCCATATCGAGGTGTGATTTCATTGACCCATCGTGGTAGCAATACTACAACGTTATTTCGCGGCAGACGGGGATTTCCTCCTTGATGGGTTTTAGGCTCCTGGGGTTTGACCTGTTCGGGATTCAATGAGGAAATTACTGATGACGAGGTTTTCGTTGTCGTTGTTGACGGGCGCATCACAAATAAAGTATTTGCACGCATGCCGAAGGCTCGGTTGTCATTTACTGATTTCAAATATGGCGCCGTCGGGGCATACGAATGTCTAAGAAGAATCGAGTGTTTGATGCAGCATTTCGCGGGTGCTGCTCCATGGTGCACAGTTTCACCCGTTACGGGGACAGAATAAAGATGGACTTTTGGTGTTCAAACAGCTGTTTTGACCGAGTGCGAGTTAGGTGGACTAACCGAACAAGCAACTCGGAGGTCGTGACGTGTGCAAATCTGGTCTGTCACTAAATAATGCCATCATCATCACATTGACTGTGAAGGGGTTAGGAACTCGTCCTCGACCGAAAGGTCCAGTAGTCGTGACTCCATCCGTGGAGCCGACTCATCTTCACGCAGGACGAAGTTGTGTAAAAATAAGGTGCTAATCCATTTTGCTTGCTAAGACCTTGTTCGATCAACACCAAATACAAGAACTTCAGTCATCTTCCTTACGCAACGTTTCGTGTTCATGAGGTTCATTTTTATTGTTCGACGTGCATTTACATTGCACATGAGAACGTTCAGGGTCTCAGGGTATTGATTGCTTTTTGTGCGTCTTTTGTAACATCATGATGCATTCCTTCGTAAACCCGTATGCTTCCCAAATCGGTACTTCATCCAATATTTTCACGTTCTTGATTTCTTTCAGTCATTTTGGCCCCTTACGGAATAATGGCTGATCTAGTGGGGCTTGCTCAATCAGAAAAAAGTGAAGAAGAGCTAGTGGAAGAATTCGAAACGTGGTCTAGTTTCTATCCCATTCGGGCGCAATGCGAACAAGTTACAGACATGAATGAGCCCAAACAACCGTTTTGCGTGCGAACTTCACAAGATGCACATGGGATTCGAAACGCGGGCAACCAAAGGTATACCAAAAGCTCAGCGGATAAGCGACCCAGTGTTACTGAGAGTTCAAATGAACCGACACAATCGCGTCCCATTTTTGTTGACGTACTTATCGGTGAGTTTGCAATATGAGTTTCTTACCCCGGGTTTCGTTGCGCTCCAAATGATTGCTTGTTTTGAAATATTTAATGAGGTTTATCTGTTGTTCAAACTAAAGGTGAGGAAGGAAAGTGTTGCAAGAACTGTCGATAACATAAAATCATTTCGATTATTTCCAAAATCACCCGTCTCTTACGCGGGGGAAGCTGACGTACAATAATTTCAAGGAGCTCTGAGTGAATGCTTGATAAACTGCTTTCTTTGTGGTTTAATACTAATAACCTCTTTTCTCGTAAATCAGTAAACTGTTTGGTTCACATCAATTGGTGAGAATTGGTTGGTTTTCGCGTATGGAACCCGCTATTTTCACCAAATAAATGAACCGTATCCAAACGTCTTGCTGCAAAATATTGATGGCTATATATATATCGCAAGTAAATGATAAAAGACCGCTGTCGGCTGATAGTTATACCCTTGATTCAGTAGTTGGTCTGTGTATTGTGGGCAACCATTGAACACAGCGTATAAATACTCTATCGAAGATTTCATGGGACCTTGCTAGAAATAATTATTCACTTAACCTTGATGATAATATCTTTCAACAAGTGAAAACCCAATTTGATGGATGCAGTGGATTGCAGTGATCTGCAAACCGTTGTTCAGGGTGCGGTCGGCGCAAATTGTGATCTAGTTTTCATTTCAGTGGCAGACACCATAGCCAAACTGACCAGTGGCGGATTTTTCAGCTTTCAGCGATCCTTTTCCGCCTTTCTTGGTGTCTGTAGACTATGTAAAATCTGATCGCACAATTTAATTGGCCTTAGTTGTAAAAGTTGCGACAGCTGCACAATATGGTATCGTCTTAGCGAGTCAGATAATTTGATCATGAATTTTTTCATTACGCTACTGTGACATGCAGTATTCGGGTTAAAGTCCATAGTCTCAAAGACCTGCTTTGTAAACCGGCAACTCCGAACCCGTAGTGGCGAATCTCAAGGGCCTATTACTTTAGACAAGGGCGACAACGAAGCTGAATACCTAAGTTGGCTAGCCGTAGTGGGGTTTGAACCAAGCAGACCCCAGAGTCTGCTAGGGATGGCAACGTAAATTGCCTAACCGCCGTTACATATTTTACTTTATGTAATTTCATATTTCAAGTGACCCTCCGAGCAGCTTTGCCTATCGCTACTACCAATGAGAATTTTTTCCGATTGAGAATGTTGATTCTCGTTGCTATCAAAGCTACAAGATTCTTCTATTTACATTTTATGGTCGATCAATTTTCGCAGCCATTCTTCAAGTTCTTTATGAACCGGATCGTCGCGTAGTGTAATTTTTGCATCCGAACGGTTACTGCAGTCATCGATCTTTGCATCACAACCCAGCCAAATTTGTCACTTCTGTCTTATTTTATGCTAAAGTCCAATTTACAGATACACGATTAGTTTCTTTGATCACTTTACTATTTATTGAGTTCACCAGTTAATTCGCGGTGATAGCAGAGGAAACAACTGTGCTCGGAATTCGAACCGGGCCTGCACCTAAAGTGAGCTTCGCAAACCGGGCTCTTGTGGAACTGATGCAGTTGCAGATTAAGTGTATTCATGCTTTTTCGTACCAGAGAACAAGCAGGCTTAGACCGGTGATGCTTTTCAATTTACGAACGCCGAAGGTAGTCTTGGACGATTCTCAGACCTGGGGAGCATGAAAAGACCTAGTTTCAGTTTCTTGCAACCAGTAACCATACATTTTTCTTCCCCGGTTTTGATTGCTGTCTTTTAGTTGTTCATTTGGATAAAATAGCACAATGAGGATAAGATTGCTGAGAGCAGTCAAATAGAAAATAGTGAAATCACATAAGATATGGTTATAAGAATAATGAGTAGATGATCGAGCGCCACTGCAACACAGCCATGTCACTTAGTCTCTAACCACAGGTGACCATCATCTCGGGGTCCCGAGCCAGGGAGCCTAACAGGGCCTAGTCTCCTGGTTGGGGACTTCATACCCTCTTTCCAGGTCTTAGTTTGACCACCTTTGAACTTTTTCCAATCGCTACCTGCCTCCGCGAACATCGCTCGCCGTGACAATCTATTTGGTGACATGTACAACACATGTTCCAACCACTTGTTCCAGTGGACGACCGTGGTTACATAAAACTCTCCGTCTAACCTCAGTATTGCTTGCCTGGTTTCCCCTCCAAACTCACGCAGTGCAACGTAGACAGCAGTGTTCGAACACCGACAACCTATTTTTATCATGTTCCTGTAGTGGCCAAGTCTCTGCACCGCATAGCAATACTGACCTAACTACCGCAACATATAATCGACCCTTGACAGACAATCGGATGTGGCGGCCGCGCTGCAGATGTATCAAGTCGGCAAATGCCAGTTGAACCTTCTGTATGTATGCCGACACTTCATCGGTGACGCATCCACCAGGTGAGATGTAGCTGCCCAAATAACAAAATTTGTCTACTTTCCCAATGAGAGTAAAGTTGGGCCATTTTGAAGGTCCAAAACGCATGCCGAACATGGCTACACTAACACTCCAAATATCCAGAAAAGCTTGCAACTCACCTGGATCTTCACTTAGTAGTACACTGTCGTCTGTATACTTCAAATCAGACAGTCTACCACATGGGAGCAAAACTATGCCGCTATCCTCTAGCGACTACCACGATATTCGTTGATCAAGCGCTTTCTCTCAGTCAAGAGAGATCCCAGTAGAATTCATCCTTCATTTATGGTAAACTGAAACCGGTCGGTGCTCACTCGGATGTGAGGAATAAGCAAGGACGGTTCGTTCTGTAGCTGGTAACCTGTACCGAACCATCGAGACGTGCAGTGCAGTCGGCTACAAACGGAATCCAGTCAAGAAGTGAATAATCGGCCTCGGCGCAATCCCGACACCAGCACCACTGCGAGCGTCGGATGGTGAGTCGCCTGGCACGCAGAGTGAAGCGTGAGAATAAGGTATCATGGAAATCGCCAGTTGTTGATTGAAGTGGGGTCTTGGATGCGTGTTTCGGGGACATAGCATACATCTAAATAGAAAATTTCAAGGGTTCTAGCTAAGACAGCTTTCTGACCGATCGGAGTGTGCGGACACTAAATGTGGCTCAGTGAAAAAGGGATTTTGGTTTCAAGAATCTGTTAGCTTCTGGTTTGTTGACCTTACCGTTTGAATACTGATATCCCGTGGGTGGTGTAAACAGGAGGCAACTAAAATTTAGGAGTGAGAGAAAAAACTGGACAGATGAGGGTTTTCCAAAACTTTGGGGCACAACAGATTTCGCTGGCCTTTGTACAACCGACATACAGCCAGTGTTCACATCGGTCACACTAAAGCGCTCGTGTACGAACCAGCTCTTTTTCGCACAAAACAGAACTATTCTGGTACAGGTGTTTTAACACCAGGCATGACGAAAATCCAGTAATGGAGCGCAAACTCACAAAATGTAGTCCACTTTATCTTTCGTGGAACCGGCTGGTATAGCGCAGTCGATCAAAACTTTCTAAGCTCTTAAGCAACCATGCATTTATCTAGGGATCGGGTGTCTTTCTGTTGCAAAATGTCGCAAAGAATGCATAGATTCGTCATGAACATTATGAGTGTGAATCGAACGAGTTGTGTGGTACGCTTCTTAAAGTATAGACCATGGGATGAAAAGCCAATAAGATGAACCACAAAAGGAAAATTAAATATGACCACACTCCGTTTTTGTAGTTCTTTATTCCATTGCTTCCATGAGTTCATTCCTCTTGACTGCATATTAAATCCTCGTGACTGCGAGGCTTATCTCTACATTCCCCACACTGTACTAAAAGTATCCGATTGGAGACTTGCACCATTTTTAGTTTGCTGTATAAGATGTTGCTGTTTTGGTGGAGTGTCATTATCGATATGCGGCACTTCTGAACAGTTCGTCAGCCGTTATAACGCACAAACACTCGATTTTACGACATTTATTCAGCCATAGCAACGTGACCCTCCCGGGATTTTTGTGTTTTCTCCTAATTGCATGTGGTTGCCGAAATTATTAAACCTCGTAAGCACAAGAAGACGCAGCTTTTTAGAGTTTTGAGTTTTTCGAGACAGCCGGTTGACGTATTTCAAATAGTATCAGGGCATACTCCTGGATATCGATTTATTTGATTAATGCGTCAATAGGCAAGTTTATGTATTACTTGAAGCCAGTTTTGTTTTGGCGGTTGTTTTTTGAAGGATAATTTGTGACACAAACCCTTACTATTTACATTATGCTCATAATATTTTTCACTTTCTGCTATAGTTTCAAACCTCGTGTAGTGTCATAAAGTCGCTTATACCTAGTGTGCATTGTATCCTATCTTACCGAAGCGACTACTTTTGGGCTTTTCCATAGGTGGATTCCGGGTACGTTATCCATTCTGCTATGTGCTACTTCCCGAGCCCATCAATGACCTTAAAATCTGGGACGGTGATAAGTCGTTCACCTGCGACGGTTCTTCGAACCCGCAACCGTCATCGTGCTGTTCGCAATCCGTACGAGTGTCCACTTTACCTGCGTCCAACGAGCCGTCTGTTACTGAATCATCTTTATGGCGATTGAAGAAACGAGAATCTCGTCCAACCTTCCGACCACGATCAGCTGAAGCACTTCAAGATCACTTACTGTTTGGCAATGCTACGTTACATTCGGATCTTTCATTTGATGTACGCCGTATTTTCTTGGCCGAAAGAGTATTGGAGCGATCTTCCCAATGCATTTTGTCATTTACACCACAAAGTTCGAAAGAAATAACCGCAAAATGTCCAATCTTCGCGCGTACTGGAACATTTGATGATGGGAGTTCTTATCTTCGCGAGTCAGAACACGGGAGGTATGATCTATCAGAATCGTATGTATGGAGCGCACAGAATCCCAGTGCCAAATGTGATNGTCCAGAGTAAGTAGTCGTTATATTAGATGTCTCACAGAAGTATTTCAATGATTAATGTGTTCTGCTAATCGATTGTTTTTCTTCACAACAGGATAGGTAGTCTATGGACACGGCCATATCTCATTTTCGCCGATCTTACAATGTTCAGTACTGAAGTTCAACCGATTCGATTCGCATGCTTAGATCTAAATTATCATTGTAGATATCAAAGTTGCTAGTTGGTTTCAAAGGAGAAACTAGATCTTAATTTGATTGCTTTGTCTACTTCTGAAATACTTCCGTTGCTAAAACTCATGATCCTCGATGACTAGAGATTGTTGTTCAACCATTTACGGTGAATTTGTGTCATTGACAGTGAATTTATAATGATTTTTAATCACTTTGAAAAAATTGAACTATGACACCTATAATTCCACATGAGGAACGTCCCAGAGATTTCTTGGTAACCCCGAGTATAATTGTTATGCTGCAGCACACGTTCATAGTTCGCTAAGAATGTAAAATACAGATAGTTATTTAGCTGTTTGAATGTTTCACTTCGATGAATTAACCCATCTATTACCGGTGACACTTTCGCTGGACATGTTTACCTATTCGTGTGTGGGCTTTTGCAGATCCTTTTTGCCAGATTATTAGTGCTTTTACTAAACTGACGAACTTATGATTTGTTTCAGGCGAGGCACATCCAGACGATCCTTGGTTTCTTTCCATCAAAGTGAAAATGTCACCAGACAAACTTTGAGAAATTTGGTTCACGAAATCGACTCGTTTTGTGAACGAACACAAAGCCCTAATACGCCAATTCCAGCATTTTCCATTCCCCACGATCCTTCCATGCCTACTCTGAGCCCACAACAGCCCACTTCGAGTTCCACTTCAACAGCCATTCCTAATGCGGCAGGGAATTGCCAAGATAAATCATCCGGCGAGCAGCAGACCAATTCGGACCATATTTTGCAACCTCTAACTTCCGGGGCTGCTGGCCCATCTGCTGGGATCGCTGCTTCGCCTTCTCTACCATTGATTTCCGCTTCTGGAACAATGGAGTGCAACACACCTAATCCCATTCTGGCGTCTTTACCCACATCAACAGTAAGTTTTGGTTTACACCCGTACACTGCTTTCAATTTTGCACCGTGTTTGCGGCAACGCTAGAATTTAGAATACCCCAATGGTCGCATTTTTGTTCTCTTGTCCCAACCTGTACGAATACGAGTACTGCTACCGTATTTCTTCCTTACTTCATCGCACGGTGCATCGCAGTTAAGCAGATCTCTCAATGAGGATGAGCTGATTCTCCATTGTGCTATCCGGCAGTTGAGTCCCTAGTTCTAAGCAAAGCTAGTCGAGCTTCAGTTCGTTTTTTATTACCCACTTTAGTGTGATGAACAGCAGACGAAGCAAACCCCATAGTCACGAAGACCCGCTGTTCATTGATAGAAACCGGCAACCTAATTCCCGGGATTTGGAGTGGCGAACTACATAAGGCCCCGATAGGTTAGGCGTGGTATTGAACCGGACGACAGCAAAGTTACCTACTACCAAATTTGAGTGATCGTGGCGGGGCTCGAACCTCATTGACAGCAACACTGTGCCACCACCAGTTTTTACAACCATTAACCATGCATTTTCATGCGTCGGTTTTGGTTGCTGTTTTTTGGCTGCCCATTTGGATAAAAGAGCGGAATGAAGATTAGAATGTTAAGAGCAGAGTCAAGAAGGAGATGAAAAAAGTTGGATGAGGGTAGCGAGGTTTAGACCACTTTTTCATATACCAGCTCATCATGCATGGCCTTACGCCATTGTTCACCTAAATGTGGTCTGCAGTTCGCCCCTGTAAACCAGTCCCTCAGGTCGATGTTTAAAGTAGTGAACCACGAGCTAAAATGGAATGTGCAGTACAGGGCCAGGTGGCTTCAGTGGTGTTTGTTTCTGAATTTAGATGGAGGCCCCTACCAAAATAGCTGATATGGGCGAGTGAGAATAACCGTTGCCGTTGAGACCACAATGCATATCAAAGCACAATTGGTGTCTTTGTTCATTGTTGCTTATGTTTTTTTATCTTTCTTGTCTTCTTCAGCTCCCAAATGGCCTTATTTCCGTCGAGCGTCACGGTTCCTCTAGTCCTGCTAACCAAACCATGAAATCTGCACCCCAGTCTTCTCTATCTGTTGTACGGAAATCCATCCCGAATTCATGGCTGACAGAGTTGGCAACACGCGCCAATCGGGTCGTATCTTCTGAAATTTTGAAAAGACCAGCATTGTGTTTGTCATCTGTCGACGCACAGGACTGTGAGCAGACGTGCCTCTCGGATTCCTTGTTCCCTTCCGTTCTAAAACCTTTTTCTCCGCAGGGAAATTTGGAGTTGTCGGAGGATCCACCGCTTGACGAAAAGTATGTTCGCTCATCTTTGGTGTCACGATCAGTTCCTATCCTACCATATGTTGATATCCTATTTGTTGTGTCCAATTTGTCTGGCATTCGTATAGGTGTACTTGCTGTTCCTTTTTTCTCCACTCAAGCTACGTGACAAAGGCCAAACGTGCACGACTTGTGGCCAATGGACCCAACATCAATGATCCATTCTCGTTCAGTCAATACGACAACTACTCACAAGGTATCATGGACCATACCCAAATAACAGACCTTCAGTTTGATCACGGTGAGCTCGGTCATAAACCATTTCCTAACTAAACTTGTAACACCATGCCAACCTTATACCTCTCCTGTCTGTAAGTGCAACTCATCCTTCTAAAAACTTCTGATGAAGCTTTACTGTTAGCCGAAGCAGGATGCCAAATCTTAGGAAGATCAATGATGGTTCAAGTCACACTTCAGGGTCTGGTTTTTGCCTCAGTTGACAATTTGCTAATTATTTACCTTCATCCCCGGCTTTCGTTTACCACTTGAGTAAATATTTCATTGATGCCGTGTACGTGTTTCGTTCTCCTTTTTCTCCCTGCAAAACACTCAATTATCCGCATTCCCAAAGTCTGCTAGAAGTGGTTCGTTTGACCACTGTCTTGTAACGATATGTTGTACGAAGGCAAAAGATCAATCTTCGAAACCGTAATCCAAACAATATGGAAGACCAGCAATTCGCCTGTCTTCGGTCACCAAAGGCATCTTGAATGCTGAGCAGCGAATTTTCAAAATTCATTTCAGTTACCTATTTAAATTGCCCTGATAACTTGAACACGTGCTTCCCATGGTCTACTTCACCAGAACCACTTTCAGAAAAAGAATTTCAATTTATGAAATGTTACAAACTTGTACAGTCTTTCCTTGCAAGCGTGTTTAAAGATGAAGTTTTCAGGAGTACCCCAAGCACGGTTCTCTAAACTTTGGACCGTAGAGATAGCACCTTGCTGGTGTCGTCTACATTGTCAATTTGATTCGAGGAGCGCCTTTCTCTTCGATTCCCTTCCTCCATGGATAAGTCATAGTGAATAATTGACTCGATGGAGCGAATCTATCGGTAAAACTTTGATCGGCACACATTTAAAAAATGATCATTGTTTCTTATATTCTGACCCAGTTGATTGGTCAACATTGTAATTGCTTTGGAAACCATAGAGTGCTCCTAGAATGTTTTTTCAAACATCTTAAACGGTGTGTTATGCGCTTTGCTACACTCCAGAGCAGACTGTTTTTTCAACGCTGGCAGGAATCTGTTCCTATAGTCATCAACATCAGTGATCCGTTGAATGAAAGCCGCAGGTTTGTTTACCTCGGGAGCACGAAAACAACTGACAGACATGATAGATAAAAACAGCAGGTATAGCAAAGCCAAATCGGCGTTTATCAATGACATTTCGGAGTTTTTTACTCTCAGATCGGAAGATAGCCCATTCGCATCAAGGATCCCTGATGGCTTTTAGTATTTACTCATCACTGTCTTCAAGACATTACTCCTTGTTTAGTGGTAACATCATATGAACAAAAAGGAGGCTCAGTGACATGTACTGTGCATAAAGCGTTCCTCTTCAGCCAAAAATCATAGCTCTATATCGTCTCTGATGGCCTAAACGTGTACTGCACATGCATGCCCACCGGTAGGTGTGACGATCACGGCGGCCGCTGGGGATTGCTGGAGTTGGTGTCGTTTAGGCAGTCCATTATTTAGCGTACCGGTGTGTAAAAGCTAACAACGGTGTTGACCTCTTCGGGTCTTTTTTCCTGACATACGGGTGCCTGAAGGGTTGTAAATGTTGTTGGCTAGTAACTTAAGATATTGCTGAGTTTCCAAACCAAATAATGGGTTGAAGCACATTAACTTTCAGTTTCCTTCACTTAATACATATTCTCTTTTTGAAATGTTCTGTATAAAAATGGAGAGAGAGCATTCTGATCATCACATTGGATATATACATCCTAATAAGCAGTAAGTAAATGACTTAAAATTTCTCTGGAGGCACATGACCGGTTTCGCGGTACTTACCGCTAGTCAGGCATGCATATCTGATCATCTTCGTCACTTCATTACTTCATATACTTGCACCCAGACAACTCCGGGTAGATTTGTGGAAGAGCTGTCCACACAAATTTACCCGGGGTTGCAGGTGAGGTTACTGTGACAAATAGTATATATATGAATATATTGAAGTTTTCCATCCCTAATAATAATTAGGACTATTTTTTAATATTTACTCATGTAAACATGTACAAACCGTTGTAGTGACATTTCAAGTTCTCACTATCTATCAATTTCCCTGCTCTGTTCCTAGTTCCCGTGACACCTGATACGCCCCTTGATGCCACGGATTTGTGTGACGATTTCGAAAGCGGTAATAGTGCCGGTGATCTAATGCCTTTCTCAAGCTCGTCCATGACAAGTGTCGCCAATTTAAACAATAACAGTATTTTAGGAAGAACCTTGGTTTTATTGCCGCCGGTACGTTCATACGTGCGATTTCAATGTGCGTTTCTTTTATCTTTATATAGATTTGATTTCAGCTCAACAGATTTTTTTTAAGATAGTCATCTTAGTAATCGACGCATTTAAAACCATAGGCGGGAATCTCAATAATGAAAAATGCATCTAGTATTTTTGAATACCCATGGGCTTTCACAGCCTGATTGAAGTTACATTTCCATTCTGACTTACTGAAGGTCTCAGCCGTAAAGTAGAACTGATCATACGGTGGCGCAGTATACGCGACTTTTCAACTTCAGTGACACGTCACGTCGCCGCCACAGGTGTTTTAGTCCTGCGTACGCTGCTTGAGCCTTGGAAATGCAGGCGGTTATCTCTCTTAATGAGCTACCGTCGTTGGTCATGCAGCTACCTGAGTAGGAGAAGCAGTCGACTTCAGCTAATTCCTGACCGTCTAGTTTCAGAACAGAACTCGGCAACACCCAGTCTTGCACTTTGAAGGTGCAAAGCACATACCGAACGGAGCGACAGAACATGCTAATCTGTCAAGCGATCTTTGCGCATCTTCCATACATTCGAACAAGTCAGTGTACTCCAAATCGTACAGCTTTTCTCCAGCTGCTCATTCAATACCTACATTTTGGAGACCACTTAGTGTTCTCCGGTATTTCGTCTATGACGAAAATTGAACAGGAATGGCGAAAGGGAGCACCCTTGACGAATACCTTTTAGTTACAAACGACCTGTTCAGGTCGCCGTAGACCTTTACGCTACCAGAGGTACGTGAGAAGAGTGAACTCAGTATGTTCACATACTTCTGCGGCATTCCTTTGCGAAGAAGCGAAACCATAAGGGATTCGCGATCAACTGAGTCGAAGACTCCCTTTAGGTCGAGGAACACGACAACCGTTGGTCGTCGGTGCGCATGGCGTAACTCGAGGACTTGACGCAGGATGAAGATTTGGTCGATACGACCGCGACCTTGTCGAAATCCTGCTTGTTGTTCACAGATGTTTGTCTCCCGAACCGGCGTCAGACGTCTAAGTATGATCGAGGTTAGTAACTTCGTGACGATTGGGATCAAACTTATTCCACAGTGGTTTGCACAGTCGTTGCGAGATCCCTTCTTAATAATTGGAACGATCAGTGAATCGCTCCGCGACGATGGAATACGCTCGTGTGACCAGATGTCACGTATTAGATCAGTAACGGAGTCTACAAGGCCATCGCCCCCTCCCCATTTTGAAAAGAGTGAGAGGAAGCGCGTCCGGCCCTGCTGCTTTTCCTTTCTTCAGGGCTTGGGTGCAAGAACGAACTTCTGCAGTAGGAGGTTCAGATGACACTGTCCACGGATCCTCAGCTACACCGGAGGAGATAGCCTGGTTAGCGCCTGGCCAGCTGAACTGCTTGTTTAAGTACCGCCCACCGGTCAAGCCGCTGCTCCCTATTGTGAATAACCTGTCCACTTTTGTCGCAGATTATTTCACCAACTGTGGTTCGCCGACCTCCCGTATTGCGTATCAGTTGGAACAGTCTGACTTCCCTGATGCAGCTGCTACTTTCATTTCATTTGCTATCGTTGCCCACCAGTTCTCACGGTCTTTCTGTAGGCTCTTCGTGAGTTGACTTTGCAGACGCCACCTAACCCTGCCTTGATCCCGGGTGGTTGGGATTTGCCGCTTTTTCTCCATCAGTGCTACTGAGTCATCAGATATCCAATGCCTTGCGCGGGTTCCCGCTTCCGATCCACAAGCAACGTTCGCTGCTTAGTGCATCGCTCGGCTAATCTGATCCCATTGTTCATTTACACTACCGCCCCGCAGTGCGTTTAGCTCTTTTCCTAATTCTGATTCAAAACGGGCACGAACGTCTGAGTCAGATAAACGATGATCTGCCAATCGAGTTTGGTGGGATTTTCTGCCACCAAGGAGTTGAANGTGAACTGCATCAAAACTAACGCATGATCAGATTCAACGCAGTTTCAGTTTGTACAACCATTAACCATGCACTATCCCTTCACCGGTTTTGGTTGCAGTCTTTTGACTGCCCATGTGGATGGACATGAGGAGAAAGACAAGAAAGACTGAAGTGGATTCGAATTGAAAATTTAGATTTTCACTGCACTAATTTTGCAGAGAAATTGACAAGATGCTCAGACGCCACTGTTTACGATATCACTGAGTGTCTCTAACTATCGGGTATGATCATCCCGAGGTCCCCATCCAGGGAGTCTAACGGGACCTATGTGGCCCAGACTCCTGGTTAGGGTTTTCATGCCCTTCATGCCAGGTCTTAGGTTGACCACCCTTCCACCCACTACCTGCCTTGGCGAACATCGCTCACCGTAGCAACCTGTTTGGTGACTTGCCTAACATGCCTCAACCAACGTAATCTATGGAGATCGACCACTTGCTCCAGTCGGCGACCGCATTCACCTAAAACTGCGCTTAAGCTCAGCATTGCTCGTCCGGCTGCCCCACCAGATTCGCGCAATGCCGCGTAGACAGCAGTGTTCGAACACACACTTGCGATTGTCTTAAGGGACAAACAATGGAATCCCAGAGAATAGTCAACAGTGATAATGATCAAATAACACTACATGATGGGGGTAATTGTTAATCGATGCATAAGGCCGTGGGCACAACCGATGGGAAAAGATTAGTGAACAGTTTCTTAGTAGAACGACTAGTATGCTGCTTTAGGTAGGTCGAGTTTCGCTTCATCGCGGATCGAGTCCACTGGCTCCGGGAGCTCTCAAACTCAAACTCAATATGAAAGCATCGAAAAAAATCATCCTACGGCATTTGTGACGTCAGTTGTCATTTTGTGAAAATCTCCCTGCATACACCATTTATCCCTCGGGTAATAATCAATGCAAAAACCACATGTAAATAAAACTATTAATTTAGGAGCTCGCTGCACACCTTGAAAAATTCTTGAATATTGGAGGAAGCATCATCACGGGTCGAAAACCGCATCACTCACTCGCGCTTGAGAAATAGAGCTGTAGTTCACTTTTATTGTTTGTTGACTGTGTGATGTGATTTGTTTGTTACGAGAGTTGTGTGTTTCTATCATGACTACGTCAAATAAAGCCTGTATTACGACAGTAGCAATTCAATCACACAATGCGGGCATTATGTTCGGAAGTGTTTGTTCAAATTTGTAAACATTTTTCGTCACTCTAGCTAAGTGCGCTACGTAACCAGTTTATTGTCACTGTCCCTTCCCGATAAATATCAGCTTCAGTGTCTACCTCGTCTGTGTGTTGATAGAGCCGCTTTCTGCCTATCTACCTTCATGCATGCTGCATATAAGTGCAGCCATTGTGTAGTGACAGTTCGTGAAGTGATCCGTACGTTTGCTCGTGCTTGATTCATTGTTCCCGTCGGATGTGCGATACCGAGTCGTTCCCCAAATATCAAAACCGTTATCAAAATACACGTAACCGTTTGTTTCATGCATGTTTTTTGCCAAAGGCAGTAGTCTCAAACTTCTTCAGTGTTCTAAAATTCGTACGGTACCAGGACCAATTTTTCAATGTATCCAATTTCGGGATGACTCACTCAGACCGTTTCTCTTGTACACTCCGGCCACAAACGCCGATTAGTTTTCTTTCGGAGTTCATTAGAGTTTAGATGCTTCGGAACAACTGTGTCTCCAGCAAGATCGTGATTTCTTGGTAAGTAGATGCTATCATTCACTCATCTGCTAGCTTAACTGTCATTTTACTTCATTGTAAGGAGTATGCATTACGTACCGATGTACACATCGAAAATCGAAGTGTATTTCGTTCACTCAAAACTGTCGTATTCACGAGATTCAAATAGTTCTGCACACCTTCAGAAGCGTCTGTTATCCACATTTATCCATACTAACTGCATGATGCGACTAGCTTTATCAATTGCTTACTTTGGATATTTTCTCTTTCAGAAAGGTGTAAGCCTTGCTAGCAGCACTGGATCGGGACACATTGGACCAGCCGAATTAGCCCTGATGCTTCCTACTCCGCCATCTCACGACGCTCCTCAACCGAGTCCGGTAGATGGTGTCGTTACCATCTCTGCCTCTACCCCCGCATCCGGACCCAAAGGTTCAATTGTTAAAACAGACTCACCCGTGGGTCATCATTTTGAATCATCCGTTCCATGTACTACGGACCAGTCTGCAAATACCGGACATATACCGTACTCTTGGTCACAGTCTCATCTTCAAGCGAATCAGACTTTATTATGTCTTGCCAAACAACCTTGTGCTTTCAGCTTTAATTTTTCAGCTCTTGATCCGGATCAGGTGGGTTTTATTTTTAAGCGATATGATGCGTCCCTTTATCTTTGCTGTTAACAATTTCTGATTAGCGTAGGCCGATAAATTCACTCTGATTCTTTGTTGTTCCATGATGTGAGTAGAATTTATGGTCAGGGCCCCGGAGTAGAAAAGCACATGAATGAAATGAATGCGGTATCAAACCAGGCGCAAGCAAAGTTGCTCTTTATGTTTGAAATACTCCGCTTCATATCTTGATCATTTCCTTCCCATTTGCTTCGAAAGTAGAGTTCGAATGTGATAATCAGCTGTTTTTGTGAATATTGTGTCCCTTCAGGGGTATATGGTTTTCTGTGTTGCATATGGTGAACCACATTGTCACCTGTGACGTCAACGCGGCTCTCTCCAGTAGACTAGCTGACACGAACATTTCGCCGCTGCTTCAGCATGCGACTAACGTCTACTGTTCAAACGTTTTGTTTGCAACATTGTGTTCTGGTCCAGAGTGTGCCAAATATTGACACTTTCGATGGGATTCGAACCCACGCATGGACGTTCTTCAATATCTTGTCTACGACGAAAGTGGGCAGGACAGGTGAAATAATGCACCCTTAAGGAATCCCACTGCTCGTCCAGAATGCGTTGCTTAACTCGCCATAGACCCTTACTGTACCTCATTCAAGTGCAGTGACTTCCGTTGATTCTCTTACATAGAAACAAGGCAAATTGAGCTTCACGGTCAGTTGTGTCAAACCCAACTTTTAGTTCAAGGAACTTGACCACTGTTGGTTGATGGAAATGAGTCACGCAAAGCGAATACAATTCTACTAGCAAACCATTGACCTTCACCTTAAGGGTGTCTTGAACTCGATACTCTGAATTTCAAATCATTGTTATCTAACTCATGAACGCAAACAGAACCCTAGTTATTTGTTTTTTATTGTCTCGTTTCTAAACTTTCTAGCTAGGAGTGTCATACTTCATTTTGGCACCGAATAGTGTTTGAAATCACGCGACCATAGGCATGCTTGATAATCGTGCAACTGGGTCTTTCATCATTAATCATCCTTCATGAATCTGATTCAAGGACAGTATCATGTCGACAGGTGTACTACCTTGGCTTTTAGTAACCATCTGATTTTTTCTTGAAATAGTGCAATGAACCAACCGTTAATTCTTTAGCTAGGTTGTCGGGGTCGCAGCTTAGATGTTTAGTTCGCTTTAGTACAGGTTTCAACCTAGCATTTGCCTTTTATTTCTCAATGGCCCTTTGTTTTGTTTAAACCATCCTCACTTATGCATTTATTTGCATTACTTTCCAGGATTGGTCTTTCTCTTATCCTTGTGTGGCATATCAAGGTATGAGCAACAATTCCAATAGACAAGAAATGGATTTGAGTGCATTTAAAAAAACGCTTCCACATTTGTCGTTCGCGTTCGATCATCGTATATTGAGCACTACCCCCAAGTCGATGTCATCGGATTCAGTAACTGTTCCGGTTTCACTACTAAGTCCCGAACAGAGCAATACAATCAGCTGCACCGTTCCTGGCCAGCGACCCACTGGTTTATTGTCTCCAATGGTCGGCTGCGGTCCGACTCCACAACCCACTCACCGTGAGGGTTGTTTGACTGAGCAGAAAGTTCCCTCTCCTTCCCAAACGAGCTGGCCTCCAACTAACACGGTCCTCTCCAAGGCAGTCAGTCTTCCGTGTGTGTCCGACAGCGATGCTGTCGCTAGCTCTTCGCCAAATCGCGAAGAACTTGCTGAGCGTCTCCTTGGTGTCACAGAAGCTGATGGCCTTTTGGTAAACATAATGCTCTCAGATTCCATGCTGAATTTGTTCAAGGATCATAATTTTGACTCGTGTAACATATGCGAGTGCACTTCCTCTGTTCTGGGTTCCGAAATTGATGTTTACCTGTGTAACCCAACGTCGACTTCAAATGGCTCTAACTCCAAAGCTCCGCGAACGTCCACTAGTGGTATGGGAAGCACAGGCGGCGCCGGTTCTGTGAATGCATTCGGAACACATGATCTAGTTGGCGCATCTGGGTTCGGTTTCACTCGCGATTGCAAGTGTGGTTTTAGTGCAGTGATGAATCAGAAGTTCGTGGTGAACGGCAATCTATTCTTTGAAGATGAGATAGAAGTGACAAATTTATCAGTCCGAACGGAGCGAGATTCAGTGCGTTCCAACTACTCCGTTGTTCCCACCTATCGCCAGTCACCTGGCTGGTGGAACTTTGCTTCTGCACAAACTCCTTTACCTCTCCTGCAAGAGATATTCCGCAGCGTGCATGATGAATTTGCAGTTCGGCATCTATCAGACTATCTCCGTCGCTGTAACTTGCCATCTCCGTTTACTGTGGTAAAGGAAAATATGCTGGAATACGATGGTGAGTATGCGTCATTAAATATGCATCAACGCCCCTTTTTACTCCTGCATGAGCCCCTGTTTTCAATGGGACTTTTATCCGTTATACAATCATCATCCAGTGTTTCTAACATCAAGTTTATGAAGCAAAGTAATTACGATAAATTCCAGTACTGAACAATCGTATGATACTCGATCATCTAAAATGACTCGCTGCTCGTGAAGTTATTCACCACTCTTATTTCTTAATCACAGTCAGTCAAACTGTTCGCGTTAAATATCGAGTGTACTATGCTTTTAACGATCCTTTCCAGATGCTTGCGCTTTGGTATCGGCTGCCCTCGAGGAAGCTAGTTCAGTACGGGGGCAAACTACGGTCGACTCGGCGGAGCGCCGCATATTAATCCATCCGTCCTACATGCTCAAAGGGCAGTCTCGGATCCCAGAGAACCACAACGATCAAATTCGGTTGCTTACTGTGAGTTTCTGCCGAGTTTTTCTCGCATATATATGTATATATATATATATATTGGATAGCGTGCTAATTATATCGTTTTGCTATCATTATAGACAATGCGGCCCTGGTTGCAAGAGGCCATATCCTCCACTCGTTTACTGGAATCAAATTACACTGTTGATGGTCCTTTAACGTGGAAGGCATTCCACCAGTTGGCTGGTCGTGGAACGGATGAAACTTGTAAACCTCAGCCGGTCCCTCAAATCCGTGTGTGTAGTTCTGATAAGGAACACCTCTTGATATCTCCATTTGCGCTCCGGGATTGGGTGAGTTTATGATTGTGAGCTATCATTTTCGAGGATAAATATTCGTTCTGAGCCAGTGTGTCCGTGTTTCACATTGTCGACCGATGGAGAATGATAATTGCTTCTTGACTGGGATCGTAAATAAGCCCGAAAGCTCATTGGTTCACCGTTAGACACTACCTTGAATTATTTTTAAATGTTATATATCCAACCGTGTTTGACAATGAATTCATCAAAATGGAAGATGTAGTCACCCACGCGCCATTATTATTCTCCTGATGTGCATAAGGACTCTGAACCCTGTAACTTACTTCCAGTTATTTTGAAATCTCTGCTTCATATTTCGTTTGATCAGACTATTACCTTGAAGTAGAAGAGACATTAGGCCTGTTGAAAAGGATGATGCTTATGTTGTGGAAACGACAGTTTACTTGGACCATAGGTCTCAATTCTCTTTCCCTTAAGACTGGCTACCACACAACAATGTGGTCATGAAGATCGGACTGGTTTTGTACCGTACGTACTCTACGTCTGATGTGTCTTCACCGCTTCAGTAATTGCAATGTTATCGTGTGGCTTATTTGACGTACCGGAATAAATAAAGCTACCTGTATCTTTTTGATCTGAGAGTGGCTATCGATCTATAACTATGCTATTGGTCCATGGGTGCTTTCGGAAGGTTCATCAGGCTTTATGATCTCTGTTTATATTGAACATCCGATGAGGTGTCTATGCTTATCTTTCACCAGAGTCATCACATCGTCTTACTTATGTTCGCCGTGTAGTAAAATGCAATGAAGTAAACTTCACCTTTCATTACCAAGCCCACTATCTACGTTGTAAATCCGGATATGTAAAGTTGATGTGGAGTGAACCCATCTGCTGGGTCAAAAACCGGTGTATAAATACTATCAATGTTCGGTATTCAGTTTAACTGTACGTAAATCGTTTTAAACAGTCTGACCTGCCAGTAGATCCCCTGCTGTCGGGTCACCGATATTTCTATTATAGTTCGCAGCAAACCACTTACGGATTACAGCACGAATGATCTGGAACACCTAATTTGCCTCATCAGGCAGCTCTTCACACCTCATACCGCGTCATTTACTGACTATAATTTCTTCCTATCTCGATCAGTAACAGACTGAACCGCGGAGTGGTGGTCGATTGCTAGACACGCACAACGTGCCTACCAACCAGCGCGTGAACTTGTGTCGACGAGTTTTTGGCCGAAGACTACGAAACCTTGATTCAATTTATTTTCTGACAGTCCAGTCGAATTTCGTGTTTTATCGGATTCTCGAATTGGTAACAACAGTGACCTCAGTATTAATGTTTATCCAAACTCGAGCGAACAACGATATTTTTCAACCTCGTTCGTGTTATTCTTTGTTGTTTTTACCACTTCTTACTAATCCTTTGACCATTATATCATTCTCTGGACGCCCATCTGAGCAGGACCGATTATCTCTGGCACCGTTGTCACGTCCTAAGCAATTGTTTTACGCGGTCGTGATCCCGTTGGAGTTGGAGGAGACGAACGAAAATGACCATAAATTCAACTTGGCGATTCCGGATCAGAAAGACAACGTTTCCGGCAGTACAGGACATTTGCATTCCGAAGCGAATGTTCGAGAGGCCGTTACAAAAACCGAAGGAAAGAAGCGGATCACTAGTTGTTTGTCACGTTTCTTCCTCGAACTATCACACACATACGAAAATTGTAAGCTGGGACATCACGTGCCCTTCCATAAACCGAACATGAACCGCCCGGAAACCGCGTTCATTCCAGTTTATCCCCGTGAGGGTGAGTACTTTCCTGTGAATTCATCTGATACACGTTCGCTGCTACTTTGTGGACCAGTAAGAAAATGTGAAATCAATGTTATAGTTTCTTCGTTTCGTTTGGAACAATACTGTCATTTTCGAGGAGTTCAGTGAATGCACTGCATTTTTCCATTTGTGATTGTGGGATATTTTCCATCGTAATATATTGTTACTTTTTGGCTAGCTTGGTTTTTGCTGTCGTTTGACAGGAATGCTCTGCGCAACTCACTCGCTTTTATATATTTTTCATATTGTTTACCCACACACGTGTATCAGGGGCCGTTCGGCTCACAGCCTTTCTTCATGATCATACACAGTCGGGCGCTCCGTGACAATACTGAAGTTTATGAGAGTTCTCAGATATTGACCACTTAGTGGTACTCCAAGTTCTGGATTGCGCCACTATCCCTGATTTATTTCCATGATACTCTCTGGGTAGTAGTGTATTATCAATAAACTTATTTATTAGGAGCTCAATTTTCGGCGCAATTACCTTCGTTTTTTGACTTTTCATCACCAAGGGACAAATCGTCAGTGCAAACCTATTCTTGCTCTAACGAGGTCACAGATATTGTCACCATTTATTAGTTGATAGATGCCCACTTGATCACTGTCATTTCCTTCCGCTGCTTGAATGCAAATCAATGTTCTCTGTTCATGGGTGGTTTAAGCAATGGAATCAAATCAGTGTAATCCGATATTGGTTTATTATTCTTTTCGTTTACGATTAAGTCTTCTGATGATTTTGATTTCTCTATAGGTTGTCCCTTCAGTTCATTATTTCCTACACTATGTTTGTTTCGATCTTTGGATCTCATTGAAAAAATGCTATTGTCCGAGTTGCATTAGGTCGGATTCGTCTCGATTTTGACAACCCTAATGTTATTTCCCAATCCTTGCAGACGAATCCGTTGTTTGTGACTCTACTCGGAACTCAGTTATTCCGGTGGACTTATTTCGCACCTTGGTCCATCAGTTACAAGGCCAATACTGCAGTCCCGAAGTATTGCTAACCAAGTTGCAGAATTACATAACAGCTGCCGCCAGCTGCACTCTGAATGTTCTCAGAGAACGGGGTGTTAATGTCACACCAGATAACTCGTCACATCAGGTGACTGTTGCTTGCCCTCTCCAGCCGACGGAACTTTTCCCCAAATCAGCCACTCACTGGACCGGCAAAAGAGAGGAAATCAAGCGAGAGGTAGACAAAGTGACTTCGGACTCAAAAACAAAAGTTCGGTTCGATCGTCAACGGACAGGATCTACCCGAGGTCATTCTTCCATCAGTCCTTGCAACGGCCAAGGCTCGATGACCACATCTTTAGATACGTCTTCTTGGAATAAAACAAGTGACGCATATCTTGTTATCTACCTGGTGAACCCTTTCTCTCAAGTAAGTCTTCCCCACTTCATAGCATATTCGAAGTGTTCTTTGCTCACTATCACAGGCTTATTTAGAGACACTGAGTGTTGTGACTGAATGTCGCAAGTAGTTGCACTCGTGCATCTCAATTTCTTCGCAACTTAAATCTGTCGGAATGCTCCATTTTCTCTTCGACTCTATTTTCAAATTTCCATGGGTCATGGTTGTATAAACTGAAACTGCCGCAAATAATGTATCAGACAGTGAAGCAGAATTAGAAACAGTAAATCGTAATATACCGTGAAGTAAAGCAGTGTGTACATTTTTCATTACTGAATCGTTGATATCGTTTGTGGGTTGGGCGGAAATGGTTGGGTTATTTAGAATGTTCTCATCGGTTCACTCTAGTTCTTGAAATGCCGTGTTTGAACTCCACCTTTTCTAGTCGTGTTGTCTTCCGGGTCGATGCCTAACCACCCAGTACGTGGCAAGGCACAGCTAATTCCAATTCATGACAACATTTGATCATGATATTTACCCTTTCTTTGGGATGGAAAAAATACAAAGACGTGTTAAGCATTTTGAAAAACTCACCGCCGTCAGTTCTGGGTCGTTTTTTCTTTTTACACTGCCTAGTTTGAACAAATCACTGTCGGGCGATAGTGATGACCGTAATTCTGTAGTCTATCGGACATTGCTTCTTACTATTTTGAACAGATAACGGCTCATTGCACCCGATGCTAATGTTCGTTACGTTGTCTGATAACCTGCCGTTTTACGACCCTGAAAACAACTTACTTTTGTTTTATTCACTAGATCTGTGATATGAGCAAAGACTTGTGTNGCGCAAGACATCCTATCGTCACTGCCGTCTTCTTGGCGTCCACGTGTAACTATAAAATTATTACCCTTGGATCACGTGACCACTGATTATCTACCCCATTTACGTTCAATGGCATTGGCCATATACTCCTCGGTGAACCGCTTCATTGAACCCACTCTGCTCAATGCTAACCGTACGCTGACAGGCATAGGGCCTGCTGCCGAGAAAGAGTTAATTTCCAACGAAAAAGAGGTATGTTGATCATAATTTTCAGTTAACAGTAGTTCTGAACGATTTTCTGGCTTAGTTTATAACAGAAATGTGCTTAATAACCCCTTGCTCACATTTCTCCCCGCACAGGGTTTTCACAAGCGGTCCATCTACGCACCGGCTTACACACTTGTTGGACCTCAGGATTCGTTGGCTCATGCTGATGTACCTCCGGACTCGGTCGAACGTTCCTCTGTGCTGTTTGTTGCCTACTGCCTCTCTCAGGATCAACAATGGCTTTTGGCCAGCTTCACAGATGAACAAGGCAGCTTGCTTGATCAAACCTTTATCAATATTTCTGTGCCGTCCAGTTATTTCACAGATTTAGAGCTGCACAAATCCCAATGGTCCAATCACGACCGGCATTATCCTAGTCCACGCCGAATCGGTTTGGCCCTTTTGTGGGATTATATGATTAATCTTCTCAGTCGAACGTCAAATCCTTGGCGAGTCGTGATTGGTCGAATAGGAAGGTTAGGCCACGGTGAGCTGAAAGGTAAGATAATTCAAATCTAATGACGACTAACCCCAGTATGATAATTATATTCGGTTCACGGCAATCAGCTCAAGTCGTGGATTTCTGTTATCACCATCAGTGAGACAGTTTGCCATCATCGGTTCCAGCAATACCTTTTGGAGGCGTTAATTTTTGGGCCTAACCAAGTTGTTTTTACTAGACTAAGATGTGGGTTCTATAGGATGCAATATAACAGTGACGGAAGATATTGATTGGCACATGTGCTGCTCGCAGTCCCCTTTGCGTTGTTCTTTTGAAGTCAGGCTCTGTATCCTATTTTGCAGGCATTCTCGTTTTTTTAATATCTCATTCAGGCCACCTTAGTCTGCAAGGATAAAGTATTTGGCTATTGTCTGAATTGTTTGTATTCGTCTGAGTTAGCGGACTGCAATAACAGGTTCATTTTTCATCATCGATTCATCCGACTACTTGCATTCGCATTTATATTTGCCAATAATCAGCTTCTTCATCATCCGGTTCAATGACGTACCTATACTGACAGGGTCCTAAGTAGTTCGCAAACCTCCTTCGTTTGTCTATTTCTCCTTGCTTACAAATTAAACGAGGTGTCTCGTGTTTCTGCCATTGAGGGGATGTCACTCAATTTAACTTGTAAGGTAAGTCCATTAGCAGCTATTGAATTGGTGAAGCCTCTTCTTCACTCGGCCGCATTCGGTGTCAGTACGCACTGTACCAGTTCGGCCACCAAGCTGCTTGAAATAGAACCCTTGAAACTCAGTTTAGGATTATGTCAGTGGTTTAGTCGTTGTCACAGGCGTGCTTTAGACCCTATGGTCCGAGGTTCGAGCCCCGCCACTCAATTTTGATGGTAAGCAGCTTTGCTGTCGTCCGGTTCAGTACCACACTTAACCTATCGAAGCCTTATGTGGTTCGCCACTCCAAGTCCCGGGGTTTGGGTTCCCTGCTTCCATCACTGAACAGCGGGTCGTCGTGATAATGGGATTCCACCCCGTCTGCTGCTCACCACACTAACGCGTGTAATAAAAAGATACGCGTCGTTCTTCACATCCAACTTCATGTTGCACTGCATGTATTAATGATGTACCTGTGCTTCTTGATTGTTTCCCAGTCTGAACTCAAATATGTGCACTAGGGTTTGATGGTGCATTGCGGGTCAATGACAACCAAACAGAGCACTGCTTGTTCATTCTGCCCGTGTGTGCGATGACTGATTGCAGTTCAACTAAATGGAAGCGTGACTTCTATCACTTTATAGATGTTCAACCTTAGTTGTACATTTTCCGACAATTATGCACAATATATGGTATTATTTTACCTTCATCCTACGAACTGCGCTATTTTATAGGATGGAACGGGCTTCTGGGTCGCAAGAGTCTTCAAGATGTTAACAAGTTTTTCCGCGAGCAGTGTGCAGCTTGCAGTGCATCCGCTACTATTCCAGCCTCATTGTCCGGCAACGGAACTCGTGCAACACTCAATCTGGTTAATAGTTCAAGTGGTGCAAATAGCTGCACGCATGAATTACCTTGTCTAGTCAGTGCCTGTTTGGTCTCCCTAGAGCCACAGAGCACTTTCCGTGTTTACCCTGGTGTCGGGGTCGGATCCAGTGAGTCATGGGGTGGAGGAGGGATCGGTGGTGGAGGTGGAGGTGGCGGTTCTGGAAGTGGCGGCGGCGGTGCTACTGGTGGGGGAGGCGGTAGCGGTGGTCCTGGAGGAGCATTTTGCGGTGTCTCACCATCACCTTTCATGACTCGAACGATGATGATGGTTGGAAACAGCACGAGCGCCAGTGATATCCCTACTACGACGCACATCCTTGTTTTCCCTACGAGTACCTCAGCCAGTGGACATTCTGTAAGTCCTTGTTGATTAATTTTCCTTTTTCTACTTGAAGGTCAACAACCAGTGTTCTGATATCGTGTTTTTCTAGCTGTGGCAAGTATCCGATCATGCTTAAAAAACAAACAAACTTGTTAGGTGCATTCCTTTTCATTCTTCAGGTCTCACCGCGGAGCCGAAACTGGGCTTGATTCTATGCTAAACGGTAATGACATCAGTCGCATTAAGAAATCCGATTAGAGGATGAGGGTTAAATCCAATTAAAATGAAATCGCTGGTAAATGCATAAATGTGAGAGGTCGAAGATTTCATTGCTTACTATTCTCAGGGATCCTCGTCTACCTTGACCAGCAACGTCGCTCCCGTTGCAGCCATCGAAGTCTGTTCAATATGATGAAGAACAATCTACTACAAGATGCTTCTCGCTCATACCATTAGTGCTTATGTTTTCAGTTTTTCAGTTTGAACAACCATTAACCATGCACTTTCGTGCGCCGGTTTTGGTTGCTGCCCATTGGGATGAAGAATAGGAGAAGAAAGGAAATTTGAAAGTGGATTCGAAAGGAAAATGGAGAAGTTCAGTGGACTAAGGTTGGGAAGAAATTGAGGAGATGCACGAACGCCACTGTTTACGACACCCAGCCATATCGCTCAGTGTCTCTAACCGTCGGTTACGGTCATCCCGAGGTCCCCAGCCAGGGAGCCTAACAGGACCTATGTGACCCAGTTTCCTGGCTAGGGTTTTCATACCCTCGTGCCAGGTCTTAACTTGACTACCCTTGGCTTTTTTCCACTCTGTATTTTCTTCGGCGAACATCGCTCGCCGTTAAATACGGTCGCCCATTGGAGCAAGTGCTTATGTTATGTGCATAGCCTAACGCTTCTCGGTTAGTACTAACATCTACCTAGATCCGTAGGTACGATTCAATACAGGGTACACAACCTATTGAATTCATGGACATTCAAGCGGTTCCTTTAATTCGTCTTACTAGGTCATAGACCCACCATTTCTATTCTCCTCGATCTGAAAGCCGCTTTCGGTCCAGTCGAACCCTCCATACTCTGACGCTACCTCACCCTGAAGGATGTGTCCCAGTTTATTTTAATTTTGCCATCTCTTTGTGCCAATATCCAAAGCCGAGCTCAAGCTCACGGCACCTTTTCGCCCGAGTTCACGTAAAGTGGTGTTCGACAGGATTACCGTCTCTCTCTCTCTCTCTCTCTCTCTCTCTCTCTCTCTCCGTTCCTGTTCAACTTATTCGTCGAATTCATGCCGGAAGCAACTCTGCCCTCGTGCTCCCAGGTGCATCTGGAGTATACAGACAACATTCCTTATTTTCCTCGTATCTCGGGTAATCGCACGCAAATTTTGACCATCCTGGAGAGATAAATATACCCTGCGTTTTGCCATTGCTTGAGTTCCTGTTTGCACGAAATCTCTCACGCGCAATTTTTCAATCAGCGATGAAAGCTTACTATCAAAAAGCATACTGCTTATCTAGACTAGAGTGGATACAACTGGCTAATGATATACGAGAGGTGTTTATTCAATTTAGCTCACCGTGTCTTGGTTGCACTACTTTCCTGAACGTTAACAGGTAGTAATGCTTCCAGTAATATTGTGTACTTGATCAGATCAGATTTCGCGTTTTGTGATGCTATTTCAGAACCATGTATTTGATGCATCTTGTTGTTCGGCTTCATATTGGGAGCATTTTTAGCTTGCTTTATAATGTCATTAACTGAAGCTATAAACCTGTGATGTCAATTTGGATCACCTACTGCAGTTAAGTCCCGTGTACAATTAAATGTCGAGATCAGACTGCTCTGATACTTAAACGCAATTGTTGGCTAAGTTGTTCAATAGAATTCCCCTTTTTTGTCTTCATACGCGCGTGCCTTCCGCACCTGAGAGCAGCTTTCGTAACATCCGTGGCATGTGTTCTCCATCTGCTTATGTTGGGCCAAAAAGAACTCCGATGTAGCCGCGATAAAGTACTAAGCAATGCTGTTCATTTTCAAAAGGTTTGTCATCAAGTTTAACACCGTTGCAAATGTATCATTTTTTGATTAAATTTTGTTCCGAGTTCAGACAATAATGTTGGGGCACCAAGTATATTGAAAGGTTAATTTCAAAACAATTTCTTCTACAGAACAGTGGATTTTATTGTTAGAGTTGTCCAATTTTCGGTCTCTTATAGTAACGTTTTGCTGATATTACCGTTTCTTAGGAACACGATGCGTCAGCATTAGCGGACGTCATCTCCGGAATGGGCCAGGATGACATGAACGTCTTCGAGTGGCTGCGCTCTGGCAACACTGAATTGGGCGATTTGGATGCTCATGGGAATGCGGCCATGCTAGATGCACTAGACAATCCGGCTGGACTCGACTTTAACCTTGCCGGTTTGAGTGCTGCCGTTGGGGGTGCGGTAGTCAGTGACACTCCTGGCAGTCGTTCTGGTGGTTGCCATGGTTTGGGCGATCCTGGAGATCATGTCCTTGATCAGGTTGATTATTCCCGTGGCTATGATCGGGTTTCTGATGTAGTGGGTATGCACAGTTTGGCCAGCAACGTGATGGATTTAGCTGGGGGCATGTGCAATGGTCTTTCGGGGCCTGGAGGCCGATTTGGAGGACGTGTAGACGATCCATCTCTTCCATCCAGTCTTCTGAATACTATGCCATTTGGAGCGCACGATCCCCCGGTATGCATTTTTGATATGGTTTGTCAACGTTTTTGTTGTTTTCCGACGGGTTTGATTGTTTCTGAAGTGGGTATATATCAAAACATTTTTCATTCGTTTTCGTCCACGATCTCTCGACCTACCGATTTGATTGATAACATTGATAAAATTCCGTTACCGCGCGAACAGTTGTGTGACTGAATGTTTGTTTGGGCAAGATGGCCTGCGGATTGTCTGTTTAAACCAGCACAATCAATCCCGGTCTGGTTATTTTATTGCCGATCACATTTTTCTGTCAAACCGCGGTTTGCAGTGGATCGATCAGTACCGTCTTCCAATAAGATCATCACGTAACACACTCATGACACCAAAACGAACTTATCGTGAAACATGCTTGCCAGTCAGTAGTTTTTTCGTTGATGCGATGAAGTATACTTCTGTCGCTTAATCATTATTAGCGATCGGATTGTTTTCGTGACTGGCTTGTTTGCTTCCCGTATTACCTAGATCGACGTGCTTCAGGCAATTGTCTCAAAAAACGTGCTAATGTAATAAAAATAGTCCATGAGTGTTTTGCTCTTTTGTATTTGTTAGTAATAAAAATCTTCGACAAATTATGAATGCTCGCCTTCATCCCGTACCAAATGGCCTATATTTTGGCATCCCATTAGAACTTATCTGGTTGTGAAAATAAACTGAATCTGGGCCGTAATTTATTTATACGTGAAACCTAATTCGTAAAATAAGTGATGATTCAGGGGGTATTAAATGCTTCGCATCCCCTTACTTTACATGTTTCTATGAAGATGGACCAAATCAAATTAGAAAAAACATCTATCGTACTCATTATGAATATAAGTAATGAATCTGTAGTGTAATATAAGGACGAGTGCCTCCTTCCCGATCTCGGCGTAATCGTCGATCAGACTCAAATGTCAAACTGGGGGTTTGCCATCAGAAAGGTGGAACGACACTGGTACAGGTTTTTATTATTATGAACAACTCCGGTTTTTATCGTTGTTATTTGCTTGCTTGTCCAACCGGTCTGCAAAGTTAGGATGAGGAATAAACAAGTGAGTGTTCTCAATCGGTACGCTGATTATGGTTAGGAGCATGTTCGTCAGAAAGGGGGGTCACGGCACTAAATACTGGTTTCAGTAATCAGTTATATCGCTAACTATAAAATAGGTGTGGCTGAATCTCCATTACTTGATATATTGCAAAAAAATCACTGAAGAGTGCGAGGACCCTTAACATAGCTGTAAGCTACCGTTGGCGTGGATCAGTACAAAACTGCAGATCCTATTGGTTCACCTGCGTTGAGTCGGATCATGCACTGGTTCTGTTACGCTTCGCTCTTCGACTCGTTGGTCATCGGCAGAAATCGCCTCCTCAATTAGCTCATCATCGTCTGCGCGATCCAGCGGTTTGCGCACGTTATGAGGAGAAGCTGGGGCAGGAGCTAGGAGAACCGGGACATAGTGGGGTAGACCAACAGTGGAATCAGATTAGATTTACGGTGCACTCAGCAGCAAACTTTGCTTGTGGGACGGAGCCCGAAGCTCGCTGAAGGCATTGGATCTCTCAGGAGTCAGTAATCCTAATGGATCAAAAGCGAAAGATCCCAATCTGCCAGGATCAGCATAAGGACCGGTGTCGCCTGTAACGTCAACTCAGAAATAGCCTTGAGGAAGATCTCGAAAATTGGTGGGCCAAAATTGGTGAAATGGAGGTAGCTTCTGCATCAGGGAATAGTCAAAGACTGTGTCACCTGATACGCAGCACCGGCGGTCGTCATATACCGGACAGTGAGACCATTTGCGATAAAAGTGGACAAAACATCCACAATAAAGAACACCGACTTGAACGCTGGGCAGAGTATTTTAATGAACAGTTCAATTGGCCTAGTGCTAATGTGGTCACTCCAGCAATTGCGGCAGAAACTCCATAGGTGGTAACATGCGAGCCCCAATCAGAATCGAAAGTACCATGCTGCATTCAATCATTAAAGAAAGGAAAGGCTGCGGGACCTGATGGGCGTCTCCCTATTCTTTTCAAGGTGGGCGGTGATTCTCCTGTCGACTCAATNCCCTTTGTCATGGGGTGAATCGTTGATCGTCCCGATCTTCAAGAAGGGATCAGGCAACGATTGCGCAAACCACCGTGGGATTAGTTTAGTTCCGATAATCACAAAAGTGTTGACTTCTGTGATACTTCGCCACCTGACCCTTAAGGAAGAGGAATATCCACGAACAACAAGCCGGATTCCGACCAGGTCGCGGTTGCATCAACCAAATCTTCACACTGCGTCAAGTATTCGAATTATGTCGCACGCATCATCGACCAACAATCTCAGTGTTCCTTGACCTAAAAAGAACCTTCGATTCAGTTGACCGTGAGGCTCTAATGTGATCACTGCTTCGCAAAGAAATGTCGCGGAAGTATGTAAACCTTTTGCGGTCACTGTACCTGCATACTTCTGGTAGCATAAGGGTCTACAGTGGGGTAAGTAAATCGTTCGGAACAAAGAGCGGTGTCCGTCAAGGGTGCCCTATTTCGCCATTCTTGTTTAATTTNGAGAAAAGCTGTGCGATTTAGAGTACACCTATGACATCGTATGCCTGTTCAAATCTATGGAGGATGCGCAATGCGCTCTTGACAGAGTAGCAAGTTCTGTATCTCCTTTCGGCATGCGCTTTGCACCTTCAAAGTGCAAAGTGATGATAGAAGACGGTGTCGTCTACCCCAACGCTGATGCTTGATGGTCAAGAATTAACTGTAGTGGAATGTTTCACCTACTTAGGTAGCTGCGTTTCAGATGACGGTAGCATAGTCAATGAAGTAACCACCCGCATTTCCAAGGCTCGAGCAGCTTACGCAGGATTGAAACACCTTTGGTGCGGACGCGATCTTTCGTTGAAACTGAAAGGTCGTGTATACTGCGTCAGTGCGACCAGTTCTGCTCTCTGGTTGCTAGACGTAAAATTTGCGCGTGGAAGATGTTCGTCGTCTTGAAGTTTTCGACTGCAGATGTTTACGTAGTTTGGTGCGGGCTGAATGGAGAATGCTTGTAAGTAACTCTGAGGTAGGACTTCGCGTATTTGGTAATGATTCGATGGAGAATTCGTTGTCCCATCGAATTCAGATTATTCGGCTTCGCTGGTTAAGACACGTATTGAGCATGTCCAGCCATCATCTGCCTCATCGCGCCTTATTCGCTGTAGCTAATCCGGACTGAAGGAAACCACGTGGAGGTCAACAGATGACAGGGAGACCAGGTATGAAGAAATCACAAAGCTATTAGATAGAGTATGCCTCGCTCCTTCCAGGTTGGGGTCCGAAAGACTCCATAACTGGTTGGTTGGAGATATTGAAGAATATGGCAGCGAACCTACAGCAGTGGTGCTCTTGTTGTCGTTTCTTATCAGATCAGAATGCTTGAAACAGTACGTATGCAGAGTTTAATTTCGTACTGTGTTGACCATAGTGGCTAACCCTCTTCTACCTCCCTCAAAATAGGTCCCATCCCTGTCCACCTTAAATTTTACCACTAACCTTGTATGCATTGCGAGTTTCGCAACGATCAGTGAAATTCGCCTCACTGTATTTCGCTGTACGATGATGATGATGATGATGATGATGGACCCTTGACAGAAAAACCGAAATTATTTCGCTACAGGTCACGTTCATTTATAAGCGTTAGCAAAACGCTATTAAAGTTCGACCTGAGAACGAAGATGCGTAGTCGTTGAAGCATCGTGAACGCCTATCTGCTTCAAAATGCTGGTGGTATATCGGCAACTACCTCTAACTTGTAATTAACGTCCTACTTCAAACGTTTTCAGCTCCATCCTATGAGTAGGAAATCTGTTTTTCGTTTCAGTTTTCTTCATGTACTTTGGGCATGAATTTCTTTCCTGTGCATCATACACCATCCTGCTTTTGTGAATGTTCCGTCGGCTTGCTGTATGTGTTTCATGATGCATTCTGCGCTCATTTCTAATTTTCCAGGACGAGGTTACCAATCTCATGCAGCAACCGTTGGCTATGGGATACTATATTTCCACAGCACCAACTGGACCGCTTCCCTCTTGGTTCTGGGCCGCTTGTCCCCACGCAAGTTTTCAGTATCCAGTCTGCCTGAAATCCGCACTTCATATCCAAACAAGTTTGGTTGGCATGGATGATGCTGCCGCAGTTGCTGCTGTTGGTGGTGCTGTTCCAACCGTGAACTCGGGCCCTGGAGGTACTGGAGTGGCAGGTTCCGATCGATTAGCACACTTACTTGATTCCACTAGTACATGCGATGTTCTGCGCTATGTATTGGAATCGTATAATGCTCTGTCCTGGCTTACAGTCAATCCAATCACAAACGATCGACGCTCATGTTTGCCCATCCATGTGCTTCTCCTGTGCCAATTGTATCAGGCTTTGGAAGCATTCATGTGATTCATTTGCTGATCTCTCCGTCTTGGTTCCTATCCGTTCCTCAAGTCCAGTGTCTGACCGTCTTATTCGATGTAATGCACCAGTCATGCAGATTCCACCACGAGTTATTATAACCCGCGAACTTCGAACCCCACTGTGTATAGTAGAGTCACCATAAAACAATGCTAATATAGAACTTTATATTTTCCTCCAAACCACCCGGTCTCCCTAATTTGTCCCACAGATGGTACGGTGTCTGTTGCTGTGAATCTCTATACTATACTGTATCTGTATTAATGCTCTTCATTGCAAATATTAGCATGTGATCTAATTCATGTACATACGATGAGTTATTTCTGTCGTGTCTTGTCATCCCTTGCCTGTCCTTGTCCGTGAAATGTACCGAGTTACATTGCGGTCTGGTGATTCATTTGTATGCCTGCTCATTCGAGGGTCTTCACCTCATGTGTTTCTCGGGCTGTGTTGTAAAGGTTGCCTGCCCTCATGCATCAGCGTTTCGCGAACGCTGCTCAGTCAGATCCCACCCAATATCATCTTAATACTCATTCACTTGATATCGGCGTTGCGCGTCTCTTCCCCCCTCAGATCCGCGCTCTTGTAAGATTGTCCGACTCACCACAGCGTCACATTCCTGTTCCATAGTTTTTCTGTACATGCCAGTTTTACTATCTGTAGTACTTCCTTCTCGCCGATATTCTCATCCATTTACGCGTGGGCAATACTGGCGAGTGCCTAATTTCATCCTGTTTCAACGTTTCGAAACCGTCTGTCACGCCCT